ATGTAGTGTATTGTAAGATCTGTGCTGTCTAGTGTAATGTCAGATATGGGCAATGTAGTGTATTGTAAGATCTGTGCTGTGTAGTGTATTGTAAGATCTGTGCTGTGTAGTGTATTGTAAGATCTGTGCTGTCTAGTGTAATGTCAGATATGTGCTGTGTAGTGAAATATCAAATCTTTGCAGTGTAATGTAATGTTAGATCTGTGCTGTGTAGTGTAATATCAGATATGTGCTGTGTAGTGTAATATCAGATCTTTGCTGTGTAGTGTATTGTAAGATATGTGCTGCATAGTATAATATCAGATCTTTGCTGTGTAGTGTGATATCAGATTTGTGCTGTGTAGTGTAATATCAGATATGTGCTGTGTAGTGTAATATCAGATCTATCTTGTGTAGTGTAATATCATATCTTTGCTGTGTAGTGTAATATCAGATTTATCTCGTGTAGTGTTATACCAGATCTATTTTATGTAGTGTGATATATCAGATCTCTAAGCCACACACCCGACTGACAGGTATATGTTGTGTAGTGTGATATATCAGATCTCTATGCCACACACCCGACTGACAGATATATGTTGTGTAGTGTGATATATCAGATCTCTAAGCTGCACACCCGACTGACAGATATATGTTGTGAAGTGTGATATATCAGATCTCTAAGCCACACACCCGACTGACAGATATATGTTGTGTAGTGTGATATATCAGATCTCTAATTATCCTTTTAATGTAAAGACATAAATTAACTCACGGGAAGACACTGACATACGATCAGACAACTTCAGGAAGGTTGTATATGAGGCGCATGGAATGCAGACTGATGAGTTTTGTTTAGCAACGTCACCTGTACATTTCACGTGATAACACTAGTTCACAAGCTCAGGGTCGCTATAATTTTTGTTATCGAGCGAGTTACGCTCTGTCAGGTAGTCATTTCACAAATGTAATAACAATAGAACTCCGTGAAAATAGTGTTTTGTAAAATATCAAGATCCCTATAAAATGCTACCATGCGATAGCCTATGGTTACATATGTACCTGACATGTAAATATACCAGGCGTAAGCAGGCTATGGAATGATGTCTCAAGTGTATGTGATTTAGAGTAATTTTGGTTCCATAAAAGAACAGTAAATTGACAATATTAATATCATAATTTAATTTGTTTCCGTCGTTTTTGGTTTAGTAAAGAAAATAACTGTCATTGTATAAATTTAAACGATTACATTTTAAACGTTCTGATTTTTTTCAAGGTAGACAACTGTCATCGGGATCAAAATGATTGTAAAATGTTTTTTTTTTTTTATTAAGGCTTTGTGTGTATTTGGTTCGATTTTTTACTCTTTTTGTATGAAACTATGTGTCCTGTTTGCTTTTGGCCTGTATATAACTACTTTTATCCAAACAATTTCAATAAAACACACTTTGTTTAACGTGTTTAAGATATTTTATGATAGATATAATATTTGTAGGGCTGATTAGCAATGCTCCTTTTCATTATTCTATTGTTGTAATAGTATTGAAAAATGCCACACACTTAAAAAAAATGTGAAAGTGTTAAATTTGACAAAAATTCAATTTTTCAGTATGTTTTACAAAAAAATCCCCAGTTTATCGGAATGCTTAGATTGTCATAAAATCATCTCTGCATAGTGACATAACCATTATATGAAACTTTCATTGAATTCTGCTGGTTAATTGCAAAAGGGTTGAGCCTCCTTAAATAATAGATTTGTTTTATACATCTCCCCTTATCAGCCAATATATGAATACATACCTTAAGCTGATGGTCACTGTGAGCTAAGTATAGTGCACACCTGATGGTTAACTTTCAGTTTAACAGTTAGGGTCTGGACAGAACCTGTACTCATAATACATATCTCCCTGTATTTATTTTACAGAATATTGCCACCTACACACTGAAAAATTGATATTATTGCAAATAAAATCTGTTTACCATTGCATATACATACCATTTAACAGCTATTTGACCTCTGACATCTTAAATGATTGTATTGACCTGATTAGAGTAAGAGTATAAAATTAGTGCTATTCTGAAGTTATTGCCTCATAAAGAGATAATTAGACACACAGACATACAGACCTTGTGTAGATATATAAATAGTGCATCTTGTGCCTCCTATAGGGAACTTATATACATATACTTCAATAATAATTATTACATACATACACCACACCACATGTTTATGCCCTTTTCTCACAGGAAAGACAACCGTTAGGAGCACCAATAACAATTTACTTGATAAATGTGATTTCAAATTCCAAAAAAAAATCTTTACTAATTAACATATGGAAACTTTAAAAAGCACCAATAATTCAAAGACATCAAGTTTTGTCATAACTGTTCTTCCCAGTATATTTGCGAAACATATTTATTCACTACATGTAATTTAACAGAAAAATGAAAAGAGGCCCGATGGGCCTGAATCGCTCACCACTTATTAATCTCACACTTGTAATCTTAAAAGTGGACTAAAATACAACTACAGGCACAATATCAGTGTTTGATTCATAAGAACCTATTAAAAGATTTAAACATATGACGCCAGTGTGACCTTGAATGTTGAACAAGGACATTAGGTTGAACAGAGTTTATAGTCTTCCAACTCAGCATGCTTCTGGCAAAATATCATTACCCTGGACCTTTTGGTTATACAGAACAAATCATTTAAAGATTTAAACATATATTGACCACTCTGACCTTGAACATGGGCGAAGGTCATTCATTTTAACAAACTTGGTAGTCCTTCATCCCAGCATGTAAATGGCTAAATATCATCACTCTTGGCCTTTTGCTTATTGAAAAGAAGTTGTTTAAAGGTTTTTAACATATTAGACCCATGTGACCTTCGATTATGTCAAGGTCATTAATTTGAACAAACTTGGTAGCCCTTTATCCAAGCATGTTACTGGCTAAATATCATTAACCTAGGCCTCTTGGTTATTCAGAAGTTGTTCAAAGGCTTTAAAGATATTTGACCCCTGTGACCTTGAATATAAGTCAAATTTGGTAGCCCTTTATCCCAGCATGTTACTGGCCAAATATCATCACCCTAGGCCTCTTGGTTATTCAGAAGAAGTTGTTTAAAGATTTTAACATATTTGACCCCTGGACCTTGAAAATGGATGAAGGTCATTTATTTGAACAAACTTGGTATCCCTTCATCCAAGCATGCTTCTGGCCAAATATCATCATGTTAGGCCTTTTGGTTATTTAGAAGTTGTTTAAAGTAAAATATTGACGCCGGACGCTGCGCCATGGCATAAGCTTACTTTCCCTTCGGGCAGGTGAGCTAATAACACATTAATGAAACATTGCAGAAAATAATATATCTCTTCACTGGTTCAGTGGATAAATTGGTCCATGTGCTTTGTAAAATTCCATTATTTAAATATTTATAAATCATAATGGCAACCTGGTCATAACTAATAATCTTTTACTGTAAGATCATTGTAACAATTATGCATTAATATAGTTGATTCCAATACAACATCAATATCACAATAATCATGTACCATCTCGTACATATAAACCAACATCTGATCATATTTTATTCATGTTTAGTGTATACTTGTACATGCAAACAAACGTTTATCATATAATTTTTAATCATGTTTAGGGTAGTTCTGCGATCCTGGAACTGTCTCATCATCATCCAGCCATCTTGGATTAAAACTAAATTGGCTTTCCATAATCTTCGAATCATTGACCATGAGATGAAATCTTGGACTGAGCTGATAATTTTTGATTTCTTAGGAATGATATGCATTGTATGTCCCTTCCCATAGCTCACCTGAGTGCTTCAGACATCTACAAAAAAAAAAAAGTTATTAAAAAAAAGAGAGGACACTATCAAGGACAGCTAAAGAGAGAGAACTTTTGTCACCTTTCCTACCAAACATTTTTGAAAATTAACAAGAGATCCAAAAATGATCTTGGCGCCCACCATGAAAGGATTTAGGTCAGTTGTAGAGAAGGTAACATAATACCCATTCCCATTAGAGCTGTCACGATAGACTTTACCCACGATTTGGTACGTATCTCGATATTTGTACCACGATTCGATTATTTCTAATCGATACACCTTTATTTTAAAAATATAAATAAAATATAAACAAAATGAGATATATAAGCCGTCGATATACGGGAAACCGAAGTGTTTCCACACTTTTGATTTGAAGCTTGCTGGAGCATCACAAATTTTCATTTCCTTACCACGGTCCACCACTTTGTTATAAATACTTTGTGAAAATTGTATCCTCGCAGCCGATTGGCTGAGGGTTTAGAGATCAGCCAATGAAATTGAATGTCTCACAAACGTTTCGGCTGAAGCGGCATACACTAATATTTAGATCGTGATGTTTTGAAAATCCAGAAAAAATATATCGTGAATCGTAACGCCCGTAAGTCCCATGTTGGAAATCCTAAACGGGAATCTTGTACGTTAAATTAAACCTCGTGATGTCATATGTTATTTGCTAATATTGCAAATGTTATTGTATAAGAATTGCATAACTATATGTAAAATAAAGGCTAAATTTACTTTGAACACAAACAGGAATTGAAAAATTATTTTGCTAGCTTTCGAAAAACGTCTGCTCTGTCAAGCAATGGGTACAAATGACAAGGGCCTCGACTCTAATCTATTTATATAACTCACAGTCGGGCACGTGTTTACCCATTCTGTCTCATTATCACTCAAACCTCAAAATCAATAGGTCATGAGGATTCCCTCAAAAGATTTACAAACCAAACTGACCACTAGTCTCAGTTATCTTGTACATAAACATTTTCATCATGCATCTTCACCTGAGCTGTTGGGCATTACAAGGGTACCACAGGGTGTAACAATTAATATACCCCTGTCCTATGCCAATCTGACATACTAACAAGGGTACCACAGGGTGTAACAATATACATCTGTCTAATGCCAATCTGACATACTAACAAGGGTACCACAGGGTGTAACAATATACGTCTGTCTAATGCCAATCTGACATACTAACAAGAGGCCCAGAGGGCCTGTATCGCTCACCTGGATACCAAAGCAATCATGGCAAAATATTCTCCGAATGAGATCAAGGGAGTATGCCAGACCCCAAGGCCAATCCTTGTAGCATATCTGTATTAGATTCTTCATGCCCAGCAATTTTATGTATGGTTATGGGGTGGGGATCTCAACTGTTTCCAAGCTTTGACTTAGAAACTAGGTCCCTAGGGTTGTGGCCAGACCCCAGGATCAATTCTAATATCGTGACTGCATTTGTCTCTTTTGCCCAGCATTTGTATATATAGTTTTGGGATGGGGATCTCAACCATTTCAAAGTTATGACCCAGGGGTTAGGTCTGCAAGGGTGGGGCAGAACCTGGGGTAAATTCTAATATCTTGACTGCATTCGTCTTTTTATGCCCAACAATTGTATATATAGTTTTGGGGTGGGGATCTAAACCATTTCGAAGTTATGACCCAGGGGTTAAGTCTCCAAGGGTGGGGCAGTCCCCAAGGCCATCCTGGAAGCATATGTGCAATCATCTCTTTACTCTTTATACTCAGCAATTGTATATACCGTTATAGGGTGGGGCTCTCAACTGTTTCCAAGCTGTGACTAACAAACTAGGTCCCTAGGGGTTCGGTCAGACCCCAGGGTCTATTCTGATATCATGACTGCATTCGTCTTTTTATGCCCAGCATTTACATATATAGTTTTGGGGTGGGGATCTCAACAGTTTTAAAGTTATGGCCCAGGGACTATGTCTCCAAGGGTGGGGCCAGACTCTATAGCCATCCTGGAAGCAAATGTGCATTCTTCTCTTTATACTCAGCAATTGTTTACCATGGTTATATGGTGGGGATCTCAACCATTTCCAAGTAATACACTTTTTTTGGCCCCACCCCTTAGCCCGGGGGGTCAGCCCCACCATTTGTACAATTTTGAATCCCTACCTCCCATGAATGCTTCCGACAAAATATGATCAATATCCATGGCATAGTTCTACAGTAGAAGTCGTTTATAGCAATATAGCCAAATTGCCCCTTTTTTGGCCCCGCCCTCAGCCCCACCATTTGTATAATTTTGAATCCCCACCACCTAGGGATGCTTCCAGTCAAATATGGTTGATATCCACCTCTTAGTTCCAGAGAAGAAGTCGCTTATTATAAGCAATATTACAAAATTGACCCCTTTTTGCCCCGCCTCTCAGCCCCCTTGGGGGTCAGCTCCATCATTTGTACAATTTTGAATCCCTTACACCTAGGGATGCTTCCAGTTAAATATGGTTGACATCGACTTCTTAGTTCCAGAGAAGAAGTCGCTTAAAGCAATATAGCCAAATTGACTCCTTTTGGCCCCGACCCTCAGCCCCCTGGGGGGTCAGTCCAACCATTTGTACAATTTTGAATCCCCACCACCTAGGGATGCTTCCAGTCAAATATGGTTGATATCCATGACATGGTTCTACAGAAGAAGTTGTTTGTAGCAATATAGCCAAATTGCCCCCTTTTTGCCCCGCCCCTCAGCCCCCTGGGGAATCAGCCCCATCATTTGTACAATTATGAATCCCCATCACCTAGGGATGCTTCCAGTCAAATATTGTTGATATCCACTTCTTAGTTCCAGAGAAGCAGTCGCTTAAAGCAATATAGCCAAATTGCCCCCTTTTGGCCCCGCCCCTCAGCCCCCTTGGGGGGCAGCCCCACCATTTGTACAATTTTGAATCCCCAACACCTAGGGATGCTTCCAGTAAAATTTAGTTGAATTCCAATCAGTGGTTAAGAAGAAGAAGTCGTTTAAAGAAATTGTTGACGTACGTACGGACAGACGGACGGACAGACGACGGACGTACGACGGACGCAACGGTATGGCAAGGGTACCACAGGGTGTAACAATATACGTCTGTCTAATGCCAATTTGACGCACTAACAAGGGTACCACAGGGTGTAACAATATACGTCTGTCTAATGCCAATCTGACGTACTTCTGATGCATTATTGTATATTGATATATGCATGAAAATATTTACTGTTGTACTCATTAAAGCTATAAGGATGTACTCCTCTGAGAAGTCAAACATTTCCTGTATAAAACCTTTTTTCTCATATACATTTTTTGAAAAGGGAGTTCATGGCATAGCAGGAAATGCAAAAAGAATTATATATCCGTGTGCTTATTTTGTGCTATGATCAGTCAAATATACCAATTTGACATAATATGTGATATAAGCGAGTTTTGCTGTTTTGACCCATTGCAGGATAAATTCTTATTATATCTTCCAAGTGTGTTATCAGATATATATGAATGTTTTCAGAATTGACAAAAATAGTATTTTCTTTTAAATTATGTAAGTAAAATTTCATTCACTTATTTTTTTAACTCAGAAAAGCAATTTAAGTTACCCCTACCCCTTATTCTTTAATGACAAAGACAGATTTTTTCACCATTTTTTGCAGATTTAATGCTTTAAATGAATAGTTCTGCTATTTTATTTTTTTTTGAAATATTTAACAGTTCCAGGTTAGGTTTCTCTTTTTAAAACAGCCATAAAAATTGGGAGGTCTGTGTGCTTCTGTTTTTGTTCTATTATTATTTGTGTTATTTTTCACCACTTCCGGGTCAAAAATCAAATGTGCTTCAATTACACTAAAATTGGTAAAAACAAATACCAAAATAGTATAACTTTACACTAACTGCATATGATTTTCATAACATTGAACATTATAAAGTTGTACACCAAAAATGGACTTGCTTCAACTCAAAATGGAGACATACTGCAGATTTAACTGATCTAGCGTCAAAATGGAGACATACTGAGGATTTAACTGATCTAGCGTCAAAATGGAGACATACTGAGGATTTAACTGATCAATCTAGCGTCAAAATGGAGACATACTGAGGATTTAACTGATCAATCTAGCCTCAAAATGGAGACATACTGAGGATTTAACTGATCAATCTAGCCTCAAAATGGAGACATACTGAGGATTTAACTGATCAATCTAGCCTCAAAATGGAGACATACTGAGGATTTAACTGATCAATCTAGCCTCAAAATGGAGACATACTGAGGATTTAACTGATCAATCTAGCCTCAAAATGGAGACATACTGAGGATTTAACTGATCAATCTAGCCTCAAAATGGAGACATACTGAGGATTTAACTGATCAATCTAGCCTCAAAATGGAGACATACTGAGGATTTAACTGATCAATCTAGCCTCAAAATGGAGACATACTGAGGATTTAACTGATCAATCTAGCCTCAAAATGGAGACATACTGAGGATTTAACTGATCAATCTAGCCTCAAAATGGAGACATACTGAGGATTTAACTGATCAATCTAGCCTCAAAATGGAGACATACTGAGGATTTAACTGATCAATCTAGCCTCAAAATGGAGACATACTGAGGATTTAACTGATCAATCTAGCCTCAAAATGGAGACATACTGAGGATTTAACTGATCAATCTAGCCTCAAAATGGAGACATACTGAGGATTTAACTGATCAATCTAGCCTCAAAATGGAGACATACTGAGGATTTAACTGATCAATCTAGCCTCAAAATGGAGACATACTGAGGATTTAACTGATCAATCTAGCCTCAAAATGGAGACATACTGAGGATTTAACTGATCAATCTAGCCTCAAAATGGAGACATACTGAGGATTTAACTGATCAATCTAGCCTCAAAATGGAGACATACTGAGGATTTAACTGATCAATCTAGCCTCAAAATGGAGACATACTGAGGATTTAACTGATCAATCTAGCCTCAAAATGGAGACATACTGAGGATTTAACTGATCAAT